GTATTTTATGTATATTCAAAGAAGCATATTGCACGCAATTGTGACTAACAATAAGCAGTGATTTACATTCGCGTTGCGTTTTGTCAGACATGTTGCGTGATTGACGAGATCGTGCATGGTCATCTAGATCGTGATACATGTGATAATTTACTTATTCAGGACTTTTCTGCAAGTCCAAAAACATGTTGTATTATAATTCCTTAACGTCTAGGCGGAAAAAAAAACGTATCACGATATTAAATAAGTCATTTGAACGAAAACGTGCAGCGAAACAATGTTTCTTTTCTTGTAACCTTCTTTCTCAATCTTCTTTCTTGTAACCAACCCTTTATTACATGTTTAACGTTAAATATTTAATCATTAACATTCACAAGCAATATTTAAATAAATGTACAATTTCTCTTGAAATAAGAATGAACAATCGTCAAGTCAGAACTCGTTAAATAACCGCGTATTATAATGGAGGGTCCCTTCGAATATATAAAAGCTCCAGGTTTTATATCTGCTTCTGCTTACTCCAAGACGCACGAGACCGGTATGCCTCGCCGGCGCAATTTAATCTCCCTTTATTTGGCGATTAAGCGCGCTACCATTGATTTATAATCTCATAAAAGGCCGAAGGCACGGTCCTGTAACGACGCCGGCAGTATCGCAAACCGAAAGAGCATCGGAAAGATTTTGCACGTGTGCATGCGTGCATATATACTCTCGTAGCCGCGTGCAAGCTGCGATATAAGTGCGATTTCCACGAAAGTGACATTTAAAATTTTATATCTCGTTGACGAAATCTCTGAAGTTCTCGATATTAACTTAATAGGAATGCACAATTTAAGCGATAATGCTCAGAAATCCGTTAAATTTTAGTCGTTAAAATTTTATAGAATGGAGATTTTATCTAGAATCCCGTAAATATTGACCTACTTTACTCGCGTGATTTTTTTAATGTGATCACTCGCGTGGAGTATTTCTGATACTCCAACATTATATCTCAATTTTCAATGTTCTCTTTGACGATTTATAGTTAAATAAAGATTGAGAGAGAGATAATACTCTATAGATTTTTTACATAAAGATAAAAGAAAAAAATTTTTTAATTGTGAAACGATTTGCGCCAAATATAATAATGTATTTATTATATTTTATTTAATAATTTTAATAATTTTTTAATGTCCATATATGGAAAGGATGGTTTTACTAAAAAAATTGGTGAGCAAAGGTAAAAATTTAACTAGGTATACAGAAAATTCGAAAATTTGAAAATAATTGTGTTGGATTATCAAAATAATTACGTAAAACGTTCCAACTAATTGCTGGAATTTTAAAATATCTTGCAGAATTGTTTATCATGTCTGAGATTCCTACGTAATTATTTTCCAACAAAATTATTTTCAGATCTGTATTTAGCTAAATTTTTATATATTTCAGCAAATTCGTGCTTCCGTGTAGAAATAACTATTCGAGAAGGAATAATCTCGTTGTAAGTCTGACTCGAGGCAACTGCTTTACCAGTTCAAGACGTAAGCACAGTACTCGAGAATATATATCTGTGATTATCTTTTGCTCTCGTCCGCAACGAGTTTCACGGTGTACACGATAAGACGATCGGATCGTCTACTCAAGGCGGTCGCCTTCCGTAGGCACGTTGTCATTCTAACGGAAGCGAAACCAAGTGTAGATCGGTGTAATTCACGAGTTATCGCCAAGTGAACAAAGAGCATCGATTTAGATTAGAAAAGTAACGGGTAATTTGCGTGGACGCCGTTAAACGCGCCTTTTAAACGATCCAGATAAGATAAAGAGAGAAACATTTCCACGCATTCGCACGTTTCACTTAATTCTTGCTCGTGCACAGTTTCACTATGTCTGTTCTATGAAAATATCCTAACTTCTAGCATACCTATCGTGTTCTAAAACTCGGTTATTTTCGTCTTTTTCTAATCTCATCTGATTTATTTTAAAAAATTGCTAAGTTGCAAAAATGACAATTCAGTGTCGCAATGAAAAAAATCAGAATTCAAGTATTTTTTTACAGATCATACGACGTGACTGCCATGTGAGAGAGTTGGATTTGAGAATGCAGAATCTTTAATCGAGTATTTCATTTACACTTTACCGCCACGGTTAGGTCAGGGTCTTAGGCTCCATTCGGAATCGGACAAAAAAAGATAATACGCGTATTTGTCACGACTCTCGGTACTTCCCGCATGACTTGTAAAGGGTAGCAGTGTAGTGGCGGCAAAAAGGCGTTAAGTCAGATCACGACCCCGTGACGGCGACGAGCCACGCCGGAAGGGGTTAATATGCAAATGAGACGCGACACGACGCTTAGGTCGGCATGCATAAAAGATTTGCGACGCCGGTTGCACTAAAATCATGCAAATCTAATCTTTGCGTATCACTAGATCAGAGATGACGCGATGGGATATTTCAGCAATTGTACACATTTTTTTATGTAACAATGATAAATATAAATAACGTAAAAAGAAATAATTTGTACATATAGATTTTTCTATGTTTTAAAATTTAAGAAATTGGTTAGAATGTTATTCAATTCAGCTTGTTCCATATGGAAATGGGAGACTGCTTTAATTTCTGTGAAGCGTTAAAAAATTACTAAAAATTCAGTTCTTATTTTAATATTTGCAGTCAAAGATTCTCGCGTTAAGAATTAAATAATATTAATTATATTAAAATATTTTTTTAATTCGATGACGGAATTAATATAGAAGTTTTGTAATAAATAACGTGGCATTGAAAAAGTTACAGCTTAACTCCTATTGAATATCCTATTGCGAATCTGTTTACGCTATTTATTCTCTTTTTGCTAGAACACACAATACACATACACATCGATGTTCTTCCTAACTCTCATGTTTGACTTACCGAAATGAAGATGCGTCCCTGAGCACACGCACGCAACTCGTCGCGCGAGTGTACGCGTGCACGTGCATGAGCGATGAATCGGAGCGGGAGAAAGATCGAAGACGACAGAGAGAAAGAGAGAAAGGGGGGAGAGAGAGGGGGAGGGGAGATTGAAGAAAGAGGGAGAGAAGATGCGCGATTCTCTTCTCGGACCTCTCTTGAGCATAGAGCTCGCCGGATATACAAGTGGGTAATAACCGTATGAAAGGGTAACAAAGGTGGCTGACACACCGCGGTCGACGTAAAGAGCAGGGGGCAAGGGTATGGGCGCGGGCAAGGGATATATATATTACGGCAAGCAATAAATATATTTTGACATGGGAGAGCCTCGCCGACGGTCTTATGCATAATAATTGTAACGGCCGTCTCTCTCGCTCCTGTACGGTACGACACGTACGCAGAACGTACGCACGCGGGCAAGACGTCGTCGCTCTTGGGACCTTTTATGTTGCCGAATTACGGTACTGGCTAGCAGTAGGCAAATATTATAGCAACAGGCGGAGACGAGGGGTAAGAATAATGTTTTCATTTGATGACGACTAACCTCGACTAACCGCACGTGAGATCGCACATTGGGGAGAAGGCCCTTCTATTTGCCCCCTCCTCGGACGATCGCGAAAGTGCGTAAGGCAAAGGAGCTTCCTCGGAATTGACGAATTCGCATTTTGAATATTCAGTATTACATACATAAATGACAATTAACTCTTACCGTACTATCTACAATTTGGTGCCTCATCCATACCATCAAGGGTCACTTCAAATCTCTTCGTTTTTTTACCTCTTTAAAATAATAAAAAAAATCTCTAAAAATTCACCAACATACTTTCAACTTTCTAGAATAAATATTGACTCTTTATTTTGGAAAATAATAAAATGTAGTATAATTTATAATTACCGAAAGACTCAAAGAAACTTGAGCAGGAATCGCTCGGCCACTAGTTACCCATATTAGTACGGTAAGGGTTAATGTAAATTAAAAAATTTATGAAACAGAAAAAGAGCAAAAGCATACATAAATTTTACGATTTTCTGTTTCGCAATATACTTTGAAAAATTATTTCTTTCGTAATAGACTTAACGATTTAATATAACTTAATTCTATTATGAAAGTAATAAATGTTTTGGGCAAAAATGTTTTGTTCTATGAACTAAAATTTTGCTATACCAACAAAAATTTGATTGAAATGTACCAAGCAAAAATTTTCGGTTTACTTTAGACCCTATATACGTATATATATTGTAATGTATATCACGTTTAAAGACATTGTCCGTTGAAATTATTTAATTCTATCAATATTATCTGCGATCAGATGTACGTAATAATGTATAGGTATGTTGAAAAAATAGTTAAAATTTTGAAAAAAATTATTTGGTTAGTATAAATTACTTATTAAAATGCCTTTTAATTATATTAAAACTATTTTTTAACATGATTTCAGTAAAATCAAGTCTGAAGGGGAATTAAGATGTATTAGACAACTGTGATTTTATGCGATTATTTATGGAATTAAATTGTTTAACTGGTATAAATAAATATTTTTGTTATTTAGCAGGAAATGAATTTCTTAGAAGCAACTAAATTTTTTATTACATAAACGAAATGTTTTGTTGCTGTTAAAAAATGCCTCAAGCAGCTTTGCTATACTAAATTTTAGTATAGCAAAGTACTAAATTTTTTTCCTAGTGTATAATAAATGATGTTTATATTTATCATTCGCGAAAGAAAAGAAATTTATATTAAGAATTTTATTGCAACGCTGCTTCCACAAATTCCGCAATTTCGTAATAAATAGATATGAAATCAAGAATCGGAGACTTTAATGCCTGACGCGATGTACATTGGAAGATTCAAATATAAGTTCATCGACATTTATCCGTATTAATGATGTTTATTGATATTTTTATTTTCAGAAGATACCATGTAAAATAACCATAATGAAAAGTTCATGGCAATAATACTGATTAGTGGGGTGTAATGACAGAAGATTAATACATTATTAATTATTAATGCGATACATTAAAACATCATTAATAGTAATTCTGTAAACTATCTAAATGTGTAAAGTAAAATGACTCACCTCACTTAAATAAACTGGAAATCCACGCAAATATCAGTCCCGTTCTCGGATCACTAGTCAACAAATAAGAATAATGTTCTTGCCGAAGCAACTGTTTCAGTCCGCTATCATATGTTACACATCATATCTCTCGTTCCCAGGAAACGTTTTATTTACTTTTATTGTTACCGATTATACCTTATCTTCGATCACATATTCCTCCAATTATTTAACGCTTGAATTCGAAGAAAGTCGTTTCTTCCGCGTAACGGCCGGTGATCTTCTTGAAAGCTTCGTTGTACTCGATCAATCTCGTTCTGTACGGACTGTTACTGTCGGTGCCATGCAACTCGTTTTAATTCCGTCGACTGTACCATTTCAATTGATCGTAATTCACAACACTTCCTCGTCCGATATTTATTTTATTCTTTTTCTCTCTCTCTCTCTCCTCCTTCTTTTCTACTTCCCCCGCTGTTTCCTCGCGATTTTTTCCTTCACCTCTTTTCCTTCTCGGTCGCTGTTCGTGATCGCCTTTGTATACTCTTGATCTCTCTTTCTCTCTCTTTCTCTCCCCCCTCTCCTTCTGTCTTTCTTATATGTGCACGTGTGACGGTGCGACTACGACGATGGACGAGAAAGGACTGGTGCTGTACGATCGCTCAGACCTGTTTGACTGCATCGAAGCGCCTGAGGAGAACCGTGCCGTACCGAAGGAACGATTTTCCTTCGTATAGTAAGAGCCATCTGGGGAGCTGTTCTTACCCATCGGTTCACGCCTGTGCCTGGGCCCGCCAACGGCTCCAGCCCGGGCCCGATCGGTCGACCAATCAGTGTGCACCAGTTCCCGGTACCTAGGCAG